TGGCCAATGAAAAAGAAAGCGCTATAAAATGTTTCCATGGTGACGTTCTTGTGACGTAATCAGCGGGAAAGCCTTTAAAGGAATTGAATTGAATAGACGGACGAGACGGAAGGATGAATGAATGAATAAATGAATGAATGAATGAATGAATGGTTGAATGATTGAATGAATGAACAAATAGAATAACATAACAGAGTGAATTTAATAAAAAAAATTTATAAAAAATTTATTTTATGATGCGGGTGCTGACGATCATTGTGAGGATCATTACGATGACGACATTTACAATGGTGATGATGATGATGATAGTGGCAGAAGTAATGATAACGATCCCGACAAACTGACCAGTCACGTGCGTATCTGCGGAGCGCGCCAGATCAAAGCATCGAATCAAAAATGGCAACTCATCATCAATAACACGTGACCGGAAAAGGAAGTGGTGATGATGATGATGACAATGTTGATGTTGATGATGATGACGTCTTTGGTGATGATGGTAATGATGCCTGTAATGGTAATAATAGTAATAATGCAACAGATGTATATATAAATGGAATAGCGTAAAGAATGACGTCACTGCAATTGTTGTCAAAAAACAACAACAACATCAACAAAAACATCATCAACAACAACAACATCATCAACAACAACAATACCATCAACAACAAAAACATCATCAACAACAACAAAGTACGTAACAACAACAAATTCATCAACAACATCAACAGCACCATCAACAACAGCAACATACATATATTTACGTCATCAGCAACTACATCATGGAGACGAGCATCACGTGATGTTCTCGTTACCTGTGGATTAATTAATTAATTACCTCTCCTACCTGTTTGCGCCTGACTGGACTAACGATGGTGGTCATAATGATGATGTTGTTGTTGTTATTGTTTTGTTGTTGAATGGGATGATGTTGCTGTTGTTGTTGTTGATGGTAAATATGATGATGATGTTGTTGTTGTTATTGTTGTTGTTGTTGTTGTTGATGATAAATATGATGATGATGTTGTTGTTGTTGTTGATGGACGCACACACAGACAAGCATACACACACACAGACATACAAACATACACACACACAGAAAAACTTGCACAAACACGCACACACACAGACAAACACACACACAGACAAACACACACACAGACAGACACGCAGGCTCACATTTGAAAATTCAATTTCCACTATTCCTGCCCGTCATAGCGCCAGGCTTTATCAACAGAGACTTGATGATAATGAAAATGATGATGATGATGACGATGATGATGAGGACAACGATGATGATGGTGATAATCACATATTTATGGCGATAATAATAATTACGATATTGACATTAAGTACTTTAACTCAAAATATGACAGACATACTGACAATGATAAAAAAAATGATTATGACGGTTTTGATGATGAGGATTCTGTAACAATAATGATTAAGATGGCCTCGGTCATGATAACGATCAATCACGTGTGTGTGTGTGTGTGTGTGTGTGACGTCAGAGGTCACGTGACGGGTGACTGTCAGCCAATCACAGACGATGACAATGTTAATTCGCTTGCTACCCTATATATAAGAGTAGACCATTTATTTATATATATATATATATATATATAGATATAGATGGATAGATAGAGAGAGAGAAAGAGAGAAAGAAAGAAAGAGAGAAAGAAGAGAGAGTGAGCTAATCCTTTAATAATTGTGTACACATATATAATTTTTCAATAGGTATTAAATTGACTTTCCTTCGTCCAATAGGTTTCTTCGCTTGTTCAGTCATTCAATTATTGCTTTCATTCTTTTATTAGATCATCTTTCATTTATTCATTGATTTTTTTCATTCATTCGTTCGTTCATTTATTTGCGTTCTCACTTTATTGCATTCATTCATTCATCGGCTGCGCACTCATTCATTCCTTCCTTCCTTCCTTCATTCATTCTTTCTTTCATTAATTAATTAATTAATTAATTCATTCATTCATTCATTCATTCATCCATTCATTTATCCATCCCCTTAATCTTCCATGTTAAAACCACTAGCACAATATCCTGAAATCGATGCAGACGCCATATTACTTCCGGCACGTTCACCGCTCTCATTGGTTGCCATTATCAACAATCCAACAACTTCATTGATTTCTGTAGCGCCGAAGTAATGAATGAATCTTATCACGATCGAACGTGAAGGCGTATTGCTCAACGGACGAGTTACAAATAATAATAATAATAATAGTAATAATAATAATAACAATAAAAACTATTATAAACATTATTATTCATTCGTTCATTCATTCCTTCATTCCTTCATTCGTTCATTCATACGTTCATGAGCTCATTCTTTCACTTTTTCGTTATTTATTTCGTTCGTTCGTTCGTTCATTAATAATAATAATAAATATTATTATTATTATTTTCGTGTTATTATTGTTCTTATTATTATTATTATTGAATCAAAAAGTGCGTTTTGTCCGTCTAATGAAAAGCTTGAATGCAAATTGATTATGACCATCTGCTTGCAGCTGATTGGCCGGCCGGTTTTTTATGGAATTATGGTTATAAAATAAATTCATCGTTACGATGAATAAGCTTCGGTCTATTGTTGCTATTTATTTTATGCCGTCATCATCATCATCATCTCAATCATCAATATCATCGTCATCATCACCATCAATTTATGCTCCTTTTGTTGAGTTTAACATATTCAGATAGGTCAAATAATGATGGTGTCATGGTGATGACAATACATACATGCATACACACACATGCATACACACATACACACACACACACATACATACATACATACATACGTGCTATGTTTTCGGGTATGCCAATCCTGTCTAAGAGTCAATGAAGATGCATGCAAAGCGCGTATTATTTGATTGTCCCCGTTTCAACATTTTTAGAGCACCTTTGGAATCTGTCCACTAACAGAAATTCAAGCCAGAGGACATAGTGAGGGCCATGCTTGCTTTCATTGCATGCATGCATGCATGCATGCATGCATGCCTGGGGTGCGGCTGCTGCATTTTCGTCTGACCTTCTCCATAATTTGCGAATAATTTAAAAGCAAAGATCAAATAATAATCAAAAATAGAAGGTAGATATTGAAATGTTGTGCTGTCCAAAAAACTGAAGGAATAACAAACAGCCCTGATCCTCTACTCCATGTTGTGAGATCTAACCAATGACGGGTCAGTTGGGAGGAACAGAGGTCAGATGTCGAGGAGGTTTTTGGTCGGTATTGGATCTATATTGGATCGGTATTGAGTCCGACCTATCCAGAAATAATACCCTGAAATACATAAAGTATTTTCCTACTTCAAAAAATACACACACACACACATACATACATACAGACATGCATACATACAAAGAAATACCAACAAACTCACTTAAGCTTACACAATGGCGCTTGATTCCATTTGACCTTTAACCTGGCGGAGTCTACGCCCTTGTGCACATCACGTGATAAGAACTTAGTATGTTTGTATGTGTGTATGTATGTATGTATGTATGCATATGTATGGATGTATGTGTGTATAAACGTTTTAATGTTGTTGCTTGACGTTTTAATGTATTTATACTTGCGATTCTCTGTTGAAATAAATTTATATATTGTATTTGTATGTATGTATATGTGTATGTTATATGTGTGTGTGTGTGTGTGTGTGCGTGCGCGTGTATGTGTGAGTATTTAGACGTGTTCACGGTTCATCACTATGATATTTGTTGACACATATCTCTAGCAACATCATCATCAACAGCCTCCTCATCATAATCATCATCACTATCACCACAATCGTCATCATCGGCGTAGCCACCATCTTCTTCATCATCTTCTTCATCTTCATCATCGTGATGAACATCATCCATCTTCTTCATCATCATCTTCGTCATCATCTTCATCATCGGGATGAGCGTCATCACAGTAACGACAACTGTCACCAATTGATATTTCTATTAGAAATCGTTCAGCACACAAACAAGCCTGTTAGTTTATTTGCCTGTGTTATATTTGCCCTGGCACATACACACACAAACACACCCACATACACACACACCTATCTTCTTACATGTGCACACACTCACACAAACATACATACAAACATACGTTTATACAACTCGCACACACACACAAAACGTGTTCATGTACGCATATATACATTCAAATACACATAGATACATATATTTACACATACAAACACACATAAACTTATACAAACAGACCATACATAAATATGTATAGTAACTTTATCCGTATTAAAGCGTGAGAAATTGCATTGTAAGTATGTATTGCACGTACAACTTACTTGCAAATTGGTAACATTTTGTAAAGAATATCATACAGTTATAAACTATTGTCTTACAAATGAATAAATTGCACTATAAAATTAACAATCGCTCTTTTGTTCCAAAGAAAGAAAGGTGGGTGAGAAAGAAAGAAATAAAGAAGGGTGGGTGAGAAAGAAAGAAATAAAGAGATAAAGAGAGTTCTTCAACAGCAAGCCGAAGTTGCCATCCTATTTTACCATTACGCCAGAATTTACTTGTAAGATTTCATTATCATCAAAGACAATAACGAGGTTTGTTTTTTATGAGGGTATTTTTAAAAAAGAAACATGAAAAAAAACTTCTGTGTATATAACAGGCTGTACAATTTCTAATCAATGATGAACTTATAAGGAAATATTATTAAAGAATTGTCATAAATTTATAATAATAAAAAGTTAATTAAAAAGTTGTAATATAATTTTCAA